GCGGCGCTGGGGTGAGGGGCGCCGGCTACTCTGCCCCGTGGGCCCCGTCACCGGTGTGGAGAAAGCACACGGGTCGTCTGGTTCTCCCCCAGTCGCCTCCCCGGGGACCCACAAGGCAGGTGCTCTTCAGGGACCGAGCCCGCGGGTGACCCACACGCATGTGCCCCTGGCCTGGACCCACCTCCCGACCGTGCCCAGCACCTGCGGCAGGGGGAAGTGGCCTGTGCCCCCTGTCAGAGGCTGACCGGCCCGAGTGCACCCCGCGTCCTGTCCCGAGGGACCGGGCCTGACACAGGTTCACAGTGACTTTGGAGCGACTCGGGCGGGGCGGGGACGAGGTGGGGCAGGTGCAGGAGGCACCGGAGGTGGGCGAACTCCTGGCCCTGCACTGAGACTGCTCGGGGTGGGCGGTGGCCAGGGGCTGGGGCATCTGGCTGGGCAGGCAGCATCCAGGCCGGGCTGGAGGGCGCCCCCTGGGGTGGTCTGCTGATGACCCCGAGGTCACCATGGGGGACCACCTCAGCCTTTGGCTCAGGGCCGTTCCCTGCGGTCAGCGCCTCCACGCCGGCTCAGCCCAGGCCCCGCCTCCGGCAGTGCCCGACCTGGCACCTGGGCAGGCCGGGCGCTGCTCTCCGGAAGAGAGGGTGCAGGCCGCCGATGCGGGGGTGGGGCTGGGGTCCGGGAGGGCCCGAGGAGCGGAGAGGAGACGGCGCTGGGCACCCACCCCCGGTGCCCACCCTGATCCCCCTGGGGCCTGGGCAGCTGTTTCCCAGCCCTGGTCTCCCGTGCCTCTGGGAACCCGGAACTCCTGCACCTCCCCCAACCCCCGCCTGCCTCGCCTCCTGGGCGGGGTCCATATGGTGTTCCGAAAGCCATACTGAACCAGCAACACCTCCCCCGCCTTCCGGGACAGCTGCCGCCCCGCCCCGCCTGTGGGCCCTGTGGAGCCCAGAGATCCCCTGGGATTCTGCGATTCACCCCAGGACTGCGGTGGTGGACACGGGGCCCAGGCCCAGGCTGCCACGGCTGGGTGGGCTCTGGTGCGCCCAGGCCTGCCCTGTGGGGGGCCGGCCAGGTGCGGGAGCTGAGTGTGTGGCGAGGGCCTCGGTTTCCGGCTCTGCAGGGCTGTGTTTCTGCCGCCGGCCAGCACAGCCACAAGCTGTCGGGGTCACTGCTCCCTGCCGGGTATTTTTAGGGCCCTGCGGAGCACTTGGGAGCCTGTGGCCTCATGGCACCTCGAGGGCTGTCTGCTCCCCCACGCTGCAGAGGAAGCGAGCCAGCCTGGCCTCCTGCCCTCAGGGCGTGGCTGGACCTCGCGCCCTGGGCACCCTGTGGCAGATCTCACTTCCCTGGGGTCATTCCCAGCAGGGGGCACTGACACCCCTGTGGGCAGAGGTGCAGGGGATGCCGCTTGCAGCCCCCAGCGGGTGGGAGGAGAGGGGAGCTGCCTGCTGACCTGCCCCTCCCCCCACGTCCAGTGCCCAGCCCCTGGGAGGGCCAAGAAGCTGGCCCCGGCAGCTGGGGCCTGCGACACTCCACCTGTCGGGTGAGGCCGCCAGGTCATGCCGACCGGCTCACCTCCCAGGGCGGGGGCTGCCTGAGCGAGACGCCAGCCGCCCTGTGGTCACCGGGCACTCGGAAGCTGCAGGGGGCTGGCCCAGGGCTGGGCTGGCCCGGGGCAGGGCTGGCCAGGGCGGGTTCTGGAGCAAGTCTGCGGGGAGCAGGACCTGGGGGTGCGTGGGCCCGGCCTGGCCCCTGAAGCAGCCGGGGGTGCAGGTGGGGCCGTGGGTGGCCCCACGGAACGATCCTGAGTGCTGGTGGCGGTGGAGGGTGGTCAGTGGGGGTGGAGGGTGGTCAGTGGGGGCTGAGGGAGAGAAGCACAGGCCAGGACTGCTCGGGAGTAGGGGAGCAGGGACCCCTCATCTGACCCAGGACTCCAGGAAGGACTTCCGGGAGGGGCCGTGGGGGCACCGCGGGGCTGGCCTCCAGCCTGCCTGGGCCAGGCCCCGCGGCGCTGCCAGTGGGAGAAGAGGCTTCCGGCAGACGGCGCCAGGCGAGGAAGCGCTTCCCTGCGGTGTGGGTGCTGCAGGCTCCGCGCCCGGGCAGCTGTGCGGGCGGCCCCACCCCCAGCGACTCACACACTCAGGGCCCTGCGCCTCCTTCCTCCTCCTGTCCTCCATGGGCAGCGTGGGTGGGAGATCCCGTCCAACCCCGCCAGCACCTCGACCCATGAAGACCGTGGCAGCCCCAGCCTTGGGCATTGAGAGCCCCGGACACTCTCGTCACCTCCCACTCCATCTCCATCACCAGCGTCTCCAGCATCAGTACCAACATTATCCCCACCCTCATCCCCTCACCATCACCACCGTCACCGTCACCGTCACCACCACCAGTGCCAGCCCCAGCAGCTTTCCAGTTCTAGCCACAAAGTCCGCGGCCTTTGCAAGTTTCGCCAGTCACATGCCCACCACCATCCTGAGCCCCACCCTGGTCCCGGGCGGTGGGGATGCTGGTCGGGGGGGGGGGCTCAGCTCCAGGGTGACGCAGTGGTGGGCAGGGTGCCCTGCACAGCAGGAGCGCAGGGGCCCAGGAGGGTCTTTGCAGAGACCTGGCTGGCTCTGGGCGCTGCGGGAAAGGAGTGGAGGGGGTGGCAGGGCAGTGGGCAGGCGCCCAGTGCGGGGAGGATTAGAGCCAGGAGCGCCGGCTTCCCCTACTTGGCCCTCACGGTCCGTGGGTGCTGGCTGCAGCACCGGGCCACCTCGAGCCCGGCGTTCCCGCTGTGGTGGGATCCTGATCCCCGCCTTGCCCAGGGTCAAGAGCACATCACCCAAGCTGGACAACTGCAGAGGGACGCGGGCGGAGGTGCAGGGGGCGGCCTTGCCCTCGCCAGGGGCACCCGCAGCCCTGGTCCCAAGCACCGCCCAGAACAGGCTGGGGGGACCTGACCGGGGAGCAGAGCTTTCGACGAGTCCAATGAGGCCCCCCTCGGCCAGCTTGCTGTGTGTGACCAGAGCGGTCACGCGGCCCTGACACGGGGCCCAGGGCGGGGCGTGGGCTGGGTCCCTCCTGGCACAGACACTGCCCTCAGGGAGAGGGGCTGGCGACAGGAGAAGCTGGCGCAGACTACAGTGTGGATTCTGATGACACTGGGCCCCGGGCCTGGCCACCCACTCAGCCCGGCCCCGGGCACTCACCCTGGCCCCAGTCACCTGCTCACCCTGGTCACTCACTCACCCCGGCCCTGGTCACTCACTCATCCCGGTCCTGGTCACTCACCCTGGCCCCGGTCACCCACTCACCCCGGCCCTGGTCACCCGCTTACCCTGGCCCTGGTCACCCACTCACCCTGGCCCTGGTCACCCACTCACCCCAGCCATGGTCACTGGCTCACCCCAGCCCCGGTCACCTGCTCACCCCGGCCCCGGTCACCCGCTCACCCTGGCCCTGGTCACCCGCTCACCCCGGCCCTGGTCACCCGCTCACCCTGGCCCTGGTCACCTGCTCACCCTAGCCATGGTCACCTGCTCACCCCGGCCCTGGTCACCCGCTCACCCCAGCCCTGGTCACCCGCTCACCCTGGTCCTGGTCATCTGCTCACCCCGGCCCCGGTCACCCGCTCACCCCGGCCCTGGTCACCCGCTCACCCCGGCCCTGGTCACCCGCTCACCCCGGCCCTGGTCACCCGCTCACCCTGGCCCCGGTCACCCACTCACCCCGGCCTGGGCACTCACTCACCCCGGCCCCGGTCACCTGCTCACCCCAGCCCTCATCACACGCATGTGCAAGGGTGCACATCCAGCCGAGTGTGAGTCACGAGCCTGTGCCTGCCGCGGCTCTGACCAACAGCAGGGATTCAGGTCCGTCGCTTGGGGACCCTGTGCGGGGACACACTGCCCACCCCCACGGTCGTCCACTCAGCGCCCCTCCTCCCCTGCCACGGGCTGTCACTTAGGACCATCTGAGCACAAGGAGCCCACCCAGCGCCTTCCTGGCGCCACCTGCTGGCTGCACGGTGAGATGCGTGGGAACTGAACCAGAGAGGCCGGAGAGAGCAGGGCCCGGGCCAGGCTGCCACTTTCAGATCCACTGGACGCGGTCTTCACTGTGGGACGTGGGTGACAGGGCCACAGCAACCTCCTAACGGCCCCTCGAGCCCTCTCTGCTGGGGCTGGTGGTCTCTGTCCCTGCCTCCCCGGGGTTCAGTCCCAGGCGTCTGGGGGCTGAGGAGGGGTCTAGGACAGCCTGCTTGCTGCCACCAAGGCCCAGGCTTGTGTGCAGTGTTTCCTCTTGGTTGCGGCCAACATCCTCCCCACCGCACCCGCAGCCCCTACCAGGCCTTCCCACCAGGCTCCCGTGGGGCTGGGGCGCCCCCTGCTGGAGACATGGAGCACAGCATTGCGCATCTCCAGGCTCCTTCAGACTCGCGGCGCTGGGGGTGGGGGGTGGCTGAGAACTGGGGGGCAGGGGACGACCACGCTTGCTCCCCACTTGCTCCGTGGACAGACAGAACCCCTGTTCCTGGGACGGGAAGCGGCCAGCCTGGCCCAGGAGCCCTGGGGTCCCCAGCGCCTCCCTCCCCCACGCCCCGCTGAGAACCACTCGGGCACGAGGCCCCCGGAAGTGCCCGCGCAGCCCCAGCCGGCCAGGAGGCCACACACACAGCACCGGGTTTTTGATTCTTTTTATTGAAGAAATGAAAAGGAGAGAAAAAATAGATTCCCCACGCGGCTTCTTCCCGGAGTGGGCCGAGTCCTGCCCGGTGCTCGGGCGCAGGGCTGTGCTCTCCGCCTGGGTCTGGGGGCCCAAGGTCCTGGAAGGGAGTGGGGGGCTGGCTGCTTTCCCAGGGGTGGAGTTTCTAAAAAACGGAGCCAGGCCAGCGGGCCGCAGGCTCGTCCTCGCGGGGGCGGCTCGGGCGGGCACCCCGGGCCGACCCGCTGTCCGCGGCCGCGCCCGCCGGGGCTGGGCGCGAGGGGCGGGCCCCGTGCCCGCCGTGCCGCCTCCTGTCCTGCGTCTGGCTCCGGTCCCAGCGCCGCCGGGAGCCCTGAGGCCGGGGCGCGGGCCTGGCCCGCGGCCCGCGAGCGTCGGCGCCCGTCCTGTCCGGTGCAGGAGCGGGCAGAGCAGCATCCGTCCGCCCGGCCCGCGCCGGCTCAGACCTCGGTCTGGAGGTCCGTGATGTCCTGCCCCACCAGCGGGATCGTGGCGCCCGCCTTCTCCCACTCCACGCCGCGCAGCTCCAGCGGCGACGGCTCCAGCTCCTTGGCCCAGGCCGGCGCCCCGTGCGCTTTCCGCAGGCTCTCCCAGGGCCGCTTGTTGGGCGTTTGCTGCTTCTCTGGCTGCTGGGGCCAGGGTCCGGGGGGCGGGGGAGGGGACACAGACGGGAATCAAAGGGGCAGGGGCGGGGCTCCTGCCCGGCCAGAGCCGCTGCCCCGCCCCCCGCGGGCCTGCGCGACCCGAGGGGACGCAGACGCGAAGCACAGGGGCCGGGATCCGGCGGGGCGGGGAGGGGAATCGAAGCCCGCACCCGCGGGCCGGGTGACCCGAGGGGACCCACCGGGGAGGGGGCAGGAGGGAGGGGAGGGAGCTGGCCCCGGGCCCCCCGCGCGCCCCACACCTTGCTGTCCGCGCCCAGGGCCTCCCTCTCCTTCTCCGCGGTGTGCTGCAGCTTCCGGTTCAGGTCCTGGAACATGTCCTGGTGTCGCTTCCGCGTGTGCATGATTTTCTGTGGGGGCGGGGCGGGGCGGGGCCTGAGCGCGGGGGCGGGGCGCCGCGCGGCCCCGCCCCGCCTGCCAGACCTCTGCCCCCGCTCCTGGGGCCGGCCGCGGTGGGGGGGGGGTGCGTGGGTAGAGCGCAGCACAGCTGACTCGGGGTGCCTGGGGCGAGAGCGGGGGCAGGGGCGCAGGGCCTGAGCCAGGAGGGGGCGCCGCGCCGCCTGGGACCCCAGTCCCCGCTCCTGGGGCTGGCTGCGAAGGGGCGCAGCAAGCTGGGTCGCGGGGTGCCGGGGGCGGGGGAGGGGGCAGAGACTGGGACCCACCTCGAAGTCCAGCTCTGCATACCGTGACTTCCGCCGCTGTGGGGAGAAGGTTGGGGTGCGTTTGCGGGGCTCCCTGGCGGTCCCCTCGTGCCAGAGTGGGGGGACTAGCGACCCCTCCTCTCCAGCGTGGGCCCAGCGAGAAGGCTGGGCAGAAGCCTAGACCCATCAGGGCGCACCTGCCCCACGCCCCCTGGACCCCCCCCCCCGCCCCAGCGCGTCCTGCGGGCCCGGGGTGGGGGGCTCAGGTTCAGCTCGGGCCCCGGCCACAGGCGCCCTCACCTCCAGGGAGCTGACCGACAAGGTGGCCACGTTCTCGCTCTTGGCCGCAGGCCCCGCGCTGGGGCCCGCGTGCGCCCCAGACTCGCCCGGCTCCCCCAGGCTGGGGGGCGCCGGCTCCAGGGCCGGCGGCGGCGGCGGGGGCGGTGGGGGCGGCGGCGGCGGCTGCGCGGGGGGCGCCTCGGGCGGCCCGCCGGGGGGCTCGCGGGCCGGGGGGCTGCGCGCGGGGAAGCCGGCGTCGGGGGCCATGTTCAGGTGGATGAGCCGCGTCTGGGGCATCTGGTCGATGTTGATGCTGTACTTGGGCTCCTCCTTGGGCTTGGGCCGCAGCGTGGCCGTGGCCGTGGGCAGGATCACGTAGCTCGTGTCCAGAGCCTTCTCCTGGGCCCGGCTCAGCTCCGAGTCCAGCTTCTTGAAGATGTCCCCGTCGCCCGCCAGCGCGGACTTGGGCGCCTTGTCTTTCTTGAGGGTCAGCGAGTGGCTGGGGAAGTCGGGCAGGGGGCCGCCGGGGCAGCGCGCCGCGCCGTGCAGGTGCAGCTTGGACGTGTTGGCCGGCAGGCTGTTGAAGTTGGACGGCGGCCCCTTGGTGTGCGCCAGCTTCAGCTTCTCGTCCTCGGGCAGCGCCGGCCGCTTCAGCGTGCCCGTGATGGTGGCGGTGCGGCAGGCCGCGATGTCCTTCTTGAGCACTGCGGGGGGCGGGGTGGGTCAGGGCGGGGCGGGGCCCAGGGGCGGGGCCAGGGCAGGCAGGGCAGCGGCAGGGTCAGGGCGGGGCAGGCCGGGTGGGGTGGGGTCAGGGCGGGGCAGGTCGGACGGGCGGGGTCAGGGTGAGGTGGGGTGGGGCGCATGGGTGGGGTCATGGTGAAGTGGGGCAGGGCATGGTGGAGTGGGGTCAGGGCAGGGCAGGGCACGGTGGGAGGGGTCAGGGTGAGGTGGAGTCAGGGCATGGTGGGGAGGGGTCAGGGTGGGTCCAGGCTGGATGGGGTGGGGTCAGGGCGGGGCCAAGCTGGGCTGGGCGGGGCACAGGGCAGGGTCAGGCCAGGGCCAGGCCAGGTGGAGTGGGGTCAGGGTAGGGCATGCGGGGTGGGGTCAAGGCATGGCGGGTTGGGGCACAGGAGTTGGGGGGAGAGCCGCGGCCTGCAGGGGGACCCCGGGCGCTCACTGGGGCACCAGGCTCCCCCCAGAGGCAGCCCTGGCCGCGGCCCCACAGGCACAACCCGGCCCTCCCAGCACCCGTGGCCAGCTGCACATGACTGCAGGTCTCTCTCCTGACCCCCTCCCCCGGCTCTGCCCCCAGACCCCCTCCCATTTCACTCCTGCCTCCACGGGCTAGTGACACCCAAAGGCGGCCAGCACCCAGCTGCCCCCCCAGGCTGCTGGCGCCCCCACACCCCGGCCTGGGGAAGCCTGGGCTGACCGCTGCACCCCCGCCCCACAGAGCCACCTGCCGCTCCTCTCCTACCACATCCACAGCCCCCAGCATCCCCGGCCCCTCCTCCACCCTCGGGACGGCCCCGCCGCTGCAGCCTCCCCACGGGTCACAGCTGTGTCAGCACGCACTCGTCCCCAGGGGCCGGCTGCTGGCCCTCCCCCCAACCCTCCCCAGGCCGGTCCTAAGGTGCGTGTCTCTCCCACGGGGGCTACACCTGCTCACACACACACACACTCTAGGAGGTGTCGGGGTCTGAGAGACAGGTGCACATCCGAACACAACTGGGCCCCCCTGGGGTACCACCGGCAGGGGCTGGCACCGTCCACTGGGGCTGCCCCAGCCTCGCCGCAGGGGCCATCCCTAGGGAGAGTTCTCCTGGAGAACTGGCCTGACCCCGGAGCACGACCAGCTGACCCCTTGACGGCCGACAGCCAGTGGACAGGGCAGCAGGGACAGACCCTGGGGGTGGGGGCAGCACCCCCCTCTTCTGGGCACTTGAGTCCCTTCTCCCACTTGCTTCCAGGAAGCTCAGCGCTAGCCCCGGGCTGGACGGCAGGGGTCCTTCCCGGAGGTCTGCAGGCCTTGTCCCCAAGCTCAGACTCATGGTGACAAGGACGACACAAGCACAACACAGGACATGGGCCTGGGGGGCATGCGGCGGGGGTGGGCGGAACAGGCAGCCCCCAGTCCCACGCAGAGCGGGCCCAGGCTCGCAGCCCCTCGAGGTGGGTGAAGGCTGAGGCCCCGAGGCAGGAGCGGCCCCCACCCCGCGCGGGGACACAGGTGCGGGACTGGGCTAATGAGGCGGGTGTGGGATGATGACACACAGTGCACACGGCACCCGGGAAAGAGAAAGAAGCAGGCGGGCCCGGCCACCTGTCACTCTCACCTGTCAGGCGCTCACCTGATCTACAGGCCAGATCCACGTCCTTCTCGAAGTCAGTCTGCAAGACAGGCAGTGGGCGGGGTGAGGGCGGGGCTGGGGCTGGAGAGGGGCGGGGCGAGGGCCGGGCTGGGGCTGGAGAGGGGCGGGGAGAGGGCGGGGCTGGGGCTGGAGAGGGGTGAGGCTGGGGCAAGACAGGCAGTGGGCGGGGTGAGGGCGGGGCTGGGGCTAAAGAAGGACAGGGGTGAGGATGGGCCCGAGGCTGGAGAAGGGTGGGGTGAGGGGCGGGGCTGGGGCTGGAGAGGGGCAGGGCTGGGCAGTGGGCAGGGAGACAGGAGGGGCTGATGCTGGACAGCAGGTGGGGTGAGGGTAGGGGTTGGGGCTAGAGAGGGGCAGGGAGGGGGGCGGAGCTGGGGCTGGACAGACAGCAGGTGGGATGAGGGGTGGGGCTGGAGGGGGTGGGGAGAGGGGCGGGGCAGGACAGATAGCAGGTGGGGTGAGGGGCGGGGCTATGGCTGGACAGACAGCAGGTGGGATGAGGGGCGGGGCTGGAGAGGGGTGGGGTGAGAGGCGGGGCTATGGCTGGACAGACAGCAGGCAGGGCTGGAGCTGGACAGTGGGCAGGGAGAGGGGAGGGGCCGGGCATCAGGCAGGGTGAGGGGCGGGGCTGGGGCTGGTGAGGAGTGGGTCTGGGCAGTGGGTGGGCTGGGACTGGACAGACAGCAGGTGGGGTGAGGGGCAGGGCGGGGGCTGGACAGTGGGTGGGGTGAGGGGCAGGGCTGGGCCTGGATGTGGGTGGGGAGAGGGGGGCTGGGGCTGGGCAGTGAGCAGGGGGGGCGGGGTGAGGGGCGGGGCTGAGGCTGGACAGACAGCAGGGGGAGAGCTGGAGGAGGGTGAGCTGCAGCTCAGAGCAGTGGGTGTGCACGTGTGCTTACATACGTGTCAGAAGTGTTTCTGTGCATGTGTGTGAATGTGTTGGCCTGTGAGTGTGTGTGCACGTTTGTATCTCGTGGGAGTGCCTGTGTTTATGACTGTAGGTGCGAGCATGTGTGCACATGCGTATGAGTGAAGACACGTGAATACACGAGTTTGTGCAAGCCCACACGCATGTGAAGGAGTCTGAGGGTCTTCATGCACATGAGTGTGTACGTGTGTCCATGCACGTGTGACTGTGTCCATGTACATGAGTGACTGAGCATGCTTTGTGTGCATGCGCGTGTCTGTGTGGACATGTGTGCGTGTAACGTGTGACTGAGAGCATATCGTGTGTGCATACCCGTGTATCCTTGTATGTGCATGACCGTGTGTGGAAGCATGCTCGTGTATACGTGTGGCTGTGAGCCTGTTGGGATCTGTGTGTTTCTCTCCACACTTGCACTCCTGCATACATCTGTACCTCCGTGTACTGCATGCCTGTGTGAGGGCTGCGTGTGTGTGGCTGTGTAGGCACGTGTGTGCAGGGATGTCTACCTGAGCATGTGCACGTGTGTAGGGCTGTGTGCCTGTGTGTGCAGGCTGCATGCATGAGCGTTGATCACTTTGTGTGTGTGTGGGCGTGTGCATGGCCACACATGTGTTCTTCCCCACTCCGGCCTCCTGAGTGGCCGCTGGGCCCCAGCACCGGACCCCTCTGCTCTGGTGGAGCCAGGGAGAGGCAGAGATGGCAGGGACGCAGGGCTGAGTGACCCCTCCCCGAGGTCAGAGGTCAGCCAGGAGAGGCGGTGGGGAGGGAACGCTGACCCCCAGGGCCCCTGCAGAGGGGTGGGGTCTGCTGGGCACCACGTGGAGCCGGGGCGACCCCCACCGCCCTCAGCCCCCCGTGAGAGGGCACCTCGGGGGGAAGTGGATGCCCCAGAGGCCTAAATGGTGGCCTGAGGGGGCGGGGCCAGGGCTGAGTGGCAGGGAAGCAGGTGCGCAGTGCCGGGGTGGGGGTGTGTGTGGTGCCGGCCCAGCACGCAGCACCCAGGGGTCGAGGAGGGCGTGCGTGGGGGGTGGAGCACAGACAGGTCCCACACGGCTGGCGCACGCCCCGGGGGCCCGGCTGCTGCCAGCTCACGCCCCCCTCCCCCCGCAGACTCCGGACCAGGGACTTCACCTTGGCAAGCTCAGTGCCCCACTGCCACCTGGGCTGCCGGGGCCCAGCGCAGCTCCGGCCCGAGGCGGGCAGGGGCGGGCGGCCCCCAGTCCTACCATGAGCTGGGCGTGGCCGTTCTGGAAGGAGCCCCCCGAGTCCCCGTTGCCCTCTTCCTGGCGGTCAACCACGCGGCACTTGACGGCGTCCTGGACCTGGGGAGGGCGGGGCCGTCAGAGGGCGGGGCCAGGGACGCAGCTCCGCCCGGAGTCCCCGAGGCCTCCACCGCTCCCGGCCACTGCAGGCAGTGCAGCCAGCACGCGACGCGGCTGAGGCACCTGGCCGCGGCTGCAGGACGGCGCTGGGGCAGCCACGGGCAGACAGGACAAGCGTGCGAAGCAAAACCTTGGAGTTCCCAGGGCGCTCCCTGGTGGAGGTGTCCTGTGCACCCGATTCCCACACCCCAGCCCCGCTCCCTGGGTCCCTCCCACCCCCCTCACCAGTGGGAGGGGACTCGGGCCCAGAGAGGGCAGCACTGGCTGGGGTTGGGCTGTCAGGCACGGCCAGGCAGCCCCTGAGCTGCCAGCGCCGGCTCAGCCCTGCACGCCTGCCTTCGCCTGCCCCCGAGACGGCCTTAGGAGCCCAGCTCCCCAGGGGCGCCCCGGCCCCTCTCCTCCAGGAAGGCCACCTGGGCAGCCCCAGCCCAGGAAACACATCTGCAGAGCCGGCCTGACTCGACCCCACACCGGAACGTTCTGTGCCCACAGCGCTGGCCGGGACACCTGCCATGGCCCCCTGCTGGCCACTCCTGCTCCCTGCCACCGAGCCTCGGGTCCTGTCCCCAGCCTGCTCCCTCCCCGTGGGTTCCTGATGACCCGGGTCTGTGCTGCCTGGACCTGGGGCGTGGGGACCTCCCCGCTGCGCCCCCCGCCCCGAGTCTCTGATACAGGTCAGGGGAGGGGCGTACGGGGGCCTGGGCTCCTCCCTCGCCACCTGCCCGTGCAGGCTGACACGGGCACCACTGCCTGGGGGCCCTCGGCCTCCCCGCTCCTTGCCGGCTGTCAGGGTGTGGAGGAGCTACCCACCTCCCGCGGGGTCCCCATGCTCAGCGGCCTGGGTGGACACGCCTCCACCCCGTCCCACGGGGGTTTCCCAGACAGCAGTGCCGCATCCCAGGCCCTCCCGGCCGCCGGCCTCCCGCTGGGCTCAACACGCAGGCCTCCCCGGGCCCACCCTGACACGCCAGCAGCCCAGGGACACCCGGATGCATCTGGGTGCAGATCTCCACACGGTCTGGGAAGGTCCAGAAAATGCCAGAAGCAGGAGTCCCACTCGTCCTGAGGGCCGTGCACATCTGCCGCTGGCTCTGTGGTTCCCGGGGGCCCCGGGGGCAGAAGCCCCGCCTGCCTCGGCTACCCCAGGCCTCCCCGGCCAGCTCCGGCTGGCATCGCATTCCCAGGAGCTGCCCAAGGCAGCCAGGCTGTGAGCTGGACACACGTCCATGCACTCGGAGCACAAGCACTTCCGCATCACAGGCTTGGCTCCCGTCCCGCGGTGGGAGGCAGCACAGAGGGGCTGCCAGGGTGCCGACCGACGCACCTCCCTCCGCAGGATGCAGTGCACCATGACGATGACGAAGCCCTCGAGGGAGTCGAAGACGGCAAAGAGGATCTGGAAGAGGGCGGAGCGGCGGTCGGTGACGGCGAGCACGGCCGACATCCAGGTCAGCGCCAGCAGCGGCAACACCACACAGGAGCTCCACAGGGAGGCCCTGGGGACGGAGGGCGTCAGGCTGGCCCTGCCCCCACCCGGCCCCCTGGGGCCCCCACTGCAGGGCCCCCGGCCAGGCCAGAGAGCTGGGGAGGAGAGGATTCCGGGGGAGGAGAGAAACGGCAAGGCTGACAGCACAGACGGACGGACGGACGGACAAGGCCAGACGGGGAGAGACAGACAGACAGGAAGAGACCCACAGGCGCCGCTTCCTCTCCATGGGCCAGCTCTATGCACCCCCTACGCACCCCCAGGACCTCCTGGGCTGCCTCCTCCAGGAAGCCCTCGGCTGCCCCGTCACCGCCTCGTCCTCACAAGGGACGTTCGGCTGCTTCAGGGCTGCGGGACGTGGGCACCGGCAGCAGGCGCCTGCCCGCAGTGCTGTGGCCCATCCTCCCTCAAGACACTCTGGCTCCCAGGGGCCCCCGAGCCGGCTGTCCTCACCACCAGGGTGGGGCTCGGGTCAGGACAACCTGCCCCCCCTTTCACGGGAGCCCCGTGGGTGGGGCCTCGGCGGGGTCCTGGGGGCGATCCTGTCTCTGTCCTCGGCAGACCGGGTCTCTCGCCTCAGTGGCCAGGGCACAGCCGCCCGCACCTGTCCCCTGCCCCCGGCCCCCCCCACAGTCCGGGGTCCCCCCAGGTCTGTTTCTTTCCTTCTGCAGTGACGACGTGCAGGGGCACGGCCCGCCCGGGGAGTCCCCCGTCCCCACCCGCCAGGGGCCGCCAGCGGCTCGGAGGCCCAGAACGGGAGCTCTGGTCCTGCCTCTGCTGTCGGGCCGAGCCCGGGATCTGCCCTGCTTCCTGGGCACACGGCGGCTCCCCTGGACGGGCCGCAGGGACCGCCCAGGCCACAGCACCAGCCCCGCCCTCCAGCGGCGACTAGCTGGCCCTCTGAATGGCACCAGGTCTGGGCCTGGGTCTTCCCACTGTGGCTGCGGGCCCTCCCTCCCTGGGACCCAGGCCCCACCCGGCCTGCCTGCAGGGGCCGTCCCCCCCCGCACCTGCCTCCCTGGGGCCCAAACCTCCATGTCCATCTGCGGCTGCCATTCCTCGCAGAGGCCACACGGGGGCGCCACACCCAGGCGCCCTGCTGGACCCCAGCGCTGCCACCACACAGCTCCTCAGCCAGCCAGCAAGAAGTGGCGACAGGAGGGGGACCAGGCGGGCCCCAGGGGCGTGGCCCCGCACCACCCCACCCCCTGCAAGCTCCTGCAGGTCCCTGGGGGCCGGGCCGGGGTGCCTCTCTCCCGAGACCTCCAGGATCCGCGCTCCACGACCACATTCAGTCCAAGCAGCAAACACAGCAGGCGCCCGGCAGAGGCCCGGACGAGACGACCCTCGGGGCTGGGGGGCCCCCTCGAGGCCTCGAGCCCACACTGTGCCCACCCACAGCGCCCGCCCAAACCCACCACTGACCCTGCCACCCGCTAGCCCTGCTCCCTGGCCAGGCCTCTCTCAATGTCCTACACATGTACACAGGCATAATCAACCCCCACAGCTCACACATGCAGTCACACGGACACCCACAGCTCACACATGCAGTCACACGGACACCCACAGCTCACACATGCAGTCACACGCACACCCACAGCTCACACATGCAGCCACACACACACCACAGCTCACACATGCAGTCACACGGACACCCACAGCTCACACATGCAGTCACATGTACACCACAGCTCACACATGCAGTCACACGCACACCCACAGCTCACACATGCAATCACACGCACACCCACAGCTCACACATGCAGCCACACACACACCACAGCTCACACATGCAGCCACACACACACCACAGCTCACACATGCAGTCACATGCACACCTCATACCTCACACATGCAATCACACGCACACCCACAGCTCACACATGCAGTCACACGGACACCCACAGCTCACACATGCAGTCACACGGACACCCACAGCTCACACATGCAGTCACACGCACACCCACAGCTCACACATGCAGCCACATGTACACCCACAGCTCACACATGCAGTCACACGGACACCCACAGCTCACACATGCAGTCACACGGACACCCACAGCTCACACATGCAGTCACACGCACACCCACAGCTCACACATGCAGCCACATGTACACCCACAGCTCACACATGCAGTCACACGGACACCCACAGCTCACACATGCAGTCACACGGACACCCACAGCTCACACATGCAGTCAATGTACACCCACAGCTCACACATGCAGTCACATGTACACCTCATACCTCACACATGCAGTCACATGCAAACCCACAGCTCACACATGCAGTCACGCGGACACAACAGCTCACACATGCAGTCACATGCACACCCACAGCTCACACATGCAGTCACACGGACACCCACAGCTCACACATGCAGCCACACACACACCACAGCTCACACATGCAGTCACATGCACACCTCATACCTCACACATGCAATCACACGCACACCCACAGCTCACACATGCAGTCACACAGACACCCACAGCTCACACATGCAGTCAATGTACACCCACAGCTCACACATGCAGTCACATGTACACCTCATACCTCACACATGCAGTCACATGCACACCCACAGCTCACACATGCAGCCACATGCACACCCACAGCTCACACATGCAGTCAATGTACACCCACAGCTCACACATGCAGTCACATGTACACCTCATACCTCACACATGCAGTCACATGCACACCACAACACACACATGCAGTCAATGTACACCCACAGCTCACACATGCAGTCACACGCACACCCACAGCTCACACATGCAATCACACGCACACCCACAGCTCACACATGCAGTCACACGTACACCACAGCTCACACATGCAGTCAATGTACACCCACAGCTCACACATGCAGTCACACGTACACCACAGCTCACACATGCAGTCAATGTACACCCACAGCTCACACATGCAGTCACATGTATACACACACACAATACATAACCACTCCCACATACATTCACTCATGCACACACATACACCTGCTCTCACAACATGCGTACACACTCCCACATGCGCTCATGCATACACCAACACTCACACATGCTCTCACATGCACACACACGCTGTCACGTCACGTGCTGTCACGTGCACCCTCACACGTGCTGTCACTCACACGTGCACACACACAGATAGGCTTCCAGTGGCCAGGCTGCCCCGCCCCCTCTGGCGACTGCTCCCAGGCTGGGCACCAGCTGGGCAGGGAGCTGCCAGGGCCTCCCCCCGGGGTGCCGAGCAGGAGCCTGGGGTCAGAGGCACGGAGGGCAGGGGCTGCCCGCAGACGGACAGTGGGAACGAAAGAAACGGAAGAGAAACACGAAGCAGACAAATGTGGCTGAGCAGAGCGGGCACCGCGGGGCGAGGCCAGGCAGCATGGGGCACTACATGGCGTTCCTGGTGGGGTCAGAGGTGGCGGCACCCCTGGGGGGGCGGGGGCTGCTGACCACAAGTGAAATTAACAGCCTGAAACAGAAGCAGCCAAGTGCCAGACCCATGACGCAGGAGTCCAGCCAGGACCCCTGTGGGGACGGTGCAGAGCCGCACGCGGCTGGGCGTGGGGGTGGGCAGTGCCGGGTCCCTGTGTCCACGTTCACTGCCTCAGCTTTGCAGACCACCTGCCTAGAGGATGGCCGCTGCCGTCTCCTCCACGCCTTCCCTGAGGAGCCAGGCAGGGGACGGAGCACGGCCAGGGCGGGCAGACAGCAGTGGCCTCCCACAGATCTGTGTGTGCACCTAGGCCTGCCCGTGTGTGTCCCCATGTGCTAACATGTGTGTACCTGCGCACACATGTGCTGTGTGTACTTGTGTGTGTCCCTGTGCCCATGTGTGCTGTGTGTGCTTGTGTCCCTGTGCCCACATGTGCTGTATGTGTGTGCTCACGTGTTCGCATGCCCATGTGTGCTGTATGTGCATGCTCACGTGTGTCCCTTGCCGAGTGCTGTGTGCTCACGTGTGTCCCCTGCCATGTGTGCTATACGCATGTGCTCACGTGTGTTCCTGTGCCCATGTACTGTATGTGTGTTCATGTGTGTCCCTGTGCCCACGTGTGCTGTGTGTGCTCACATGTGTCCCTGTGCCCATGTGTGCTGTGTGTGCTCACATGTGTGTCCCCTGCCATGTGTGCTATATGCATGTGCTCACGTGTGTTCCTGTGCCCATGTGCTGTCTGCATGTGCTCAAATTTCTAGCTGTGTGTGCACCTGTGCACAAGTCCACACCCGTGTTGTGTGTGTGTATCCATGCTTACAGCTGGGTGTGCACCTGTGCGTGGGGAGCGGGAGCCTGCACGCGGTCAAGTCTACCCCTGCTTCTGAGCCCCCTGCCCCCGAGCGCTGTGCTGGCACCCACCGCACAGGCAGGGAGGCCCGTTCCACCAGCCACTGCCCTCCTAAGCCTCAGTTTACCCGGCTGCAGGGTGGGACTCTAGAAAGGTAGCCTGCCTCAGTGTGACTCCAAGAAACACGCAACACAGACGGGTGCAGGGCGGGGGCGCAGGGGCGCCACCGCCCTCGGGACTCCCTGCTCGCACACCCACGTGGGCGCCCGCAGCCTCGGGAGGGGAGGAGCACTGAGGGCGAGGCGAGGCCCCAGACCAGCTCCCTCCGGCCCAGGACGCTGCAGCAAGGACGCCCCGCCCCCGGCCAGCCCAGCGCGGGGTCTGATGGCCCAGAGCAGCAGGCGCGAGAGGGCGCCCTGGGCAGAGCAGGAAGCGCCCTGGGCAGAGAAAGAGACAGCGACAGACAGAGAGGCGGGACCAAGACCAGGCAAGACTGGCACAGAGGGGAGGGCGGGCCCCTCACAGGCACCAGCCAGGGCGAGACACAGAGCGGCGGGCAGGCGGGAGGGGAGGCGTGCGTGGAGCGCGGGGGCAGCCCCTGCCCCAGCTTCCCGGGGCCCCCAGTGTCCCCCTCCCGGGGCCGTCCCGTCAGCAGCAGCTCTGGGCGGGCAGGGGTGGGGGGGGTTTCCCTTCCCAGCCGGGGCCCCCTGGGGTCACACAGCAGCCTTGTGGTGGGGGAGGGGGGCCGGTGCACCACCCCAGGAGCCCGCCAGAGGCAGCGTCTCCTGGAGCGGGCAGTTCCACTGCTCCCGAGGCCTTGCTGGGCCTCCCTGTCCCGGGCCAGGGGGAGAAACTGAGGCGCGGCGGCAGGCAGGGGCTGGGCGTGGGGGCAGGGCGGGGGCTGGGCGTGGGCGGGGCGGGGGGGCGGGGCTGGGCGCGGGGCGGGGCGGGGCGGCGAGGAGTGCCGAGGCGCCAGGCCCTACCCCGCCCGCTCCTTCAGCTTCTTGTCGGTGATGCCGTCTTTGGACACGAGCTTGTTGAATACCAGGATGCCGATCACCATGTTCACCTGCCGGGGAGACGGGCGGCTGTGCGGGCCGGGGCGCCCACGCGCGCACCACGGGCCGGGGCCCTCACCCGAAGTGGACCTCAGCACCGGCCCTCGAGGCTGCAGGGGGCACCTCCCACGTGTCCCCCCCCCCCCCGGCTAATAGCATCCCTGCTCCCCCCTCCTTCCAGCCACGGGAGCTCACACCCGTGGACGAG